AGGGGGCAGGGGGCAGGGGCCGGGTGCAGAGCCAGCACTTCCTTCGTGCCAGACTCTGGGCCAGGTCCATTATCTGATCCGCATCGCCGCAGGCCCACGGGACTGAAAGGAAGGGACCGCTATGCCCCTTCGCAGGTGCGGGAGCTGACTCGGACTCTGCTTCTCGCCAAGCGGACAAGCTAAAGACCTGGAATCGGAACCCAGTTTTTTTTAAAGGATGGTTGCATTGGATTTTTTTAAATGTTTTTATTGACTTTTAGAGACAGGGAGGGAGAAGAAGAGAGAGAGAAAAACACGCATGAGAAACATTGATCGGCTGCCTCCTGCACGCCCCCTACTGGGGATGGAGCCCGCAACCCGGGCATGTGTCCTGACCGGGAATCGAACCTGGGACCTCTTGGTTCATGGGTCCACCCTCAACCACTGAGCCACACCAGCTGGGCTGAACCCATCTTTTTTCACTCCAAAGTCCACACTCCTTGCACTGTCACACAAATAAGGAAAAGGCCACTGCCAACCCACATGGCAGCTTGGTGCAAATTAGAAGAGGCGCCCAGAGACCCCAGGGCACACAGCCTGGCCAGTGGGTCAAGGGCTAATCTCCGCCCCCACTGGCCCCCCATCCCCCCATAGCTGCACATGGCCGCCCTGAATGTCGAGGTGCACTGGGGTGGCACAGGACCTGCACACAGTCACCAGTCTGTCTCCAGGTTCCCTTGGCATGGGACATACTCTTGTGAAATGGCAACAGTGACTAAAGGTACAGGGATGGCCCCGGAGCAGAGTAAACCTAATAGTCTTCAGAGGAACTGAGTCAGGACCTTGGCACATCAACAAAGAGGCAGGCTCAGTGCTGCCCAGGGAGAGGCCCGACTGGCAACCTAAGGCGCTCACAGCTTACGGGGGCGGGGTGGGGGGGAGAGACCCGGTCAAACGTGGCAAGAATCCTGTGAGGAAGGTGAGCATGGGAGCCCCGAGGAAAGCTCAGGGGAGGACAGGTAGTTTTCTGTTGTGGGCTGACCTCCAAAACCTTCTTGCGTAGCCCAGGCCATTCAATGAGAAGCATTTCCTGAGCTGCCTGCTGGTATTGCGGGCACAGCCCCGGGAGCCCGGTTTCCGTTGCGGGAGTGTTTCCAACCCGGGCCCCTGCGGTGGGTTGTATTAGCTGCCCGTGATTATCGACACCTTCCCAGGCCTGGCTGCCCAGCGACGGGTATACCTCCCCACCCTGCTGATGGGCTTGTTTGTGGGCCATGCTGTGGCCAGTGGGAGGTAGAGGAAGGGGCCTTGTGCTGGTTCCAAGAGGTGGCTTCAAGGGCCACCTGTGTCCCATTCATCCCTAGATTCCTGTCCTGCACTAGGAGGACATGAGGTGACCCCGGCAGAAACCGCTCCTCCAGTCTGGGTCTCCAGGGAGGGCGATGTGTGGAGAAGCCTGCACTCCGCCCAGCAGTGAGAGTGACCGTCTGTGGTCTGAAGGCGCCGAGGCCGGAGGCTGTCTGTTAGGCAGCGCTCTCGGTGAAAGTGACGGGCGCATCTTCTAAGCCTGCATCCCGCACGCCCACGCACAGCTTTCCTTTGCCCTAACCGCGTGCCGAGACGGGGTCTGCATTGGTGCATGTACTTATGGAGAGATAATGGTAGGAAAACCCAGTGTGGCATTGAAGATAAGTGGATAGCCCGAATGGCATGGCTCAGTGGTTGAACATCGACCTATGAACCCGGAGATCGCGGTTCGATTCCCAGTCAGGGAATATGCCCGGGTTGTGGGCTCGATCCCCAGTGGGGGGCATGCAGGAGGCAGCCGATCAATGACTGTCTCTCATCATTGATGTTTCTCTCTCTCTCTCCCTCTCCCTTCTGCTCTCTGAAATCAATAAAGATACATATATACTTTATAAATAAATAAATAAAAATAAAAAATAAAATAAGTGGATAACTGGGATTTTTCAAAAAAATATCCCAGTAGAGTACCTGGAAAACCAACATCTCTGAAAGTCTGTGAGCTTTTACAATAAGACACATGGTAGAAAAAGAAAACAAATTCTTACCACCAATCCACTGCTTTTGTGTTGAAGGTCCTGAATGCGTTGGTGTAGAGCTTTCTGGTAAATAAACAGAGATAACATTCTCTAGCTTATTACATGAAGCAGCAAAGCACATGCTCTGTGTCCCCCATCCCCCAAGTCGGCCATCAGATTCAACTTCACTCTGTAATGGTGTCATTCCGGAAAAAACACCAGCCTCCAGCAACCATGTGCCCCTCGCATACCTCTGGCGTGGGAAAACTAGAAAATCAGGATACGTATTCTAGAGCCTCAAGGGGCAGCACATCACAGGCAAGGCCATTCTTTAAAATAAAGCCGCCCAACAAGAGTGGCTTGATTTGTATGGTTTAGATCAGAGACTGACAAACTTGACCAGCGTGGACCAGATAGTAAAGAGTGTAGGCTCTGTGGGCCATACCCTGTCCAAACCACTCAACTTTGCCCTTGTAGCCAGGAACAGCTACAGATCATCTGTGAATAAGTGAGCACGGCTATGTTCCAATAAAACTTTATTTGTAACAACCGGTAGCAGGCCAGCTTTGGCCCACAGGCTGTTGTTTTCGGGGCCAGAGTTTGCCTACCCCTGGTTTACACTGTGGGTCACGTGCACAGGACAACTCGCCTATTTGCAGACGGGTTGCTCCTGCTCTGAAAAGGCCAAGGAGCCATGTCTACTGGAAGGAAGGCGTTTAAGGAACACGCAAAACCCAGCTTCAAATGTTAACAAATTGGGGCCGGCATAAACAAGTGAGGCAGAAACCTGTGGTGAGCACAGCACAAACGTTAAGAAGATTCAATAGGAGGATTCGTGAATACAGGGATGAATTAAAAAGTTAGAAGAGAAAGAAGAGCAATGTAAAAACTAGATCAGGAAGCTTCTGAAGCTGAGGTCAAGTGAGCTAATATGCTTCTGCAAACCTGAGAGGCTGGTTCTGTAACCCTGTTTCCACACAGTCCTCCCGACAGCTGCAAATGTGACCCCCCAGGTGTAATAATAATCCCTCCTCTTTACAGAGTCCCCCCGGCGTGTGAAATCCTTCATCACCAGGAACCGGTAGCAGCGAGGCAGGAACCAGTCCCACCGTTTCTAGACGGGGAGACTGGAAGCTACATGACTGTAAAGAGGCAGAAGCAGGATTTGAAACCAGATCTGCCTGACGCCAGAGCCCCTGTTCTTTCTCTGCTACAAACGGCCTTTCCAGCACCCGGGGAAGCAGCCCGAAGACGGTGAGAAGAGCAGGCCCGGGAAAGTCAGGCAGCAAGGCGGCCAGAAGGGAGGCGAACAGAGCTAGATGGAGGCGGAGGGGAAAGGGCCTACCCTTGACCTCACATGTTTCTTGGCAGGTGTTGGAGGAAAAGAATTTGAGAACAAGTGAGGGTAAGTCCAGAACGGAAGCCTCCGCAGGGCAGCCAAGTGCGCGGCTTAGGGCAGGCGGGCCAAAGCGCTGGCAGTCAGCACACAGGGCCTAGCACCCCAGATTTCCTCTAACCCTCCGCACTCAGAGGGACACGGGAAACAAGCAGAAGGGGAGGCTGAAACTGAAAACGTGTCTTCTGGAAAGCCCGGGGAGTATCATTTCTTTTTATAAAATAGCTCAACTTCTCAGCCTGAGGCCAGTCGCATCGGACCCGGGACATGCCCACGCGTTGTCAGGCTAAAGGAAAGCCAGCCGGGTGAAACGGGCCGCGCTCGGGTCACAGTGAGATGCCAGAGGTTGACCGTTACCATTGGCGACTCCAAAGGCAGGACTTGGCCGTGGTAAATCGTTTTAATCTTCTGCACATTAGTTAGCATGGTCTTTTTGAGGTTTCCTTCGGGCTACAAAGAGAATAAAATAAACAAAGATCAACAGCATTTTTCCAGATGGCAGAGCCCTCTCACTCCCGGCCCTGCTGGTGCCAGGGCAGCTGTGGGCGTGGGGGCTGCGGGAAGGCCGCGCCCACACCAAGTCACGAACCGCAAATTGTCAAACAACCCGCGCTCGGCCCTTCCTGAGCGCCGGCTGTGTTCCCGCATGCCCACGGCCCGCAAGCGCGCGGCTATGGAGTCACTGCAGTGCCAACGTCCCCCTTTTGGAAAGAGGAAAGCAAGGCTTGACGGGGCAAGCTTTCCTTAACCCCCCCCCGCCGGCGGTGTCAGCACGTGGATGCGGGACAGTCCCACCGCCCCGCCGTGCAGGTGAGGCGGCGAGGGCACAGGGGGGCGTGTCTTGCACCCAGCTGTCAGTGGCTGAGTGGGCATTTGCATCGGGTCTTCCTCCGGAGCCCAGGTGCCCCATCGCCACATTCTGCTGCTTCTCCAAAGGGACCTTCTAATCGGCAGCAGCCGGCGGAGCAGCCGGTGAAGGGGAAGTCGATGGAGGCTCGGATGGTGCGTTTGCCTTCCCTCAGCCACCTCTGGTTGGTGATGCCAAGGGCCGCAGGGAACCCCCCTCCGTGCCCCCAGTCACCATCCCCGACACGGCAAGAAAAAGGTGGGCACGTGTGTTCAGCAGAGGAGGGGTTGGTGAGGTGAGAGCAGAGCCAGCGCTAAAGCAGTCACGGGGAGAGCTGCGTGCACCCTGAGGCCGCCCTGGAAACCTTCCCCAGCCATGTGGCAACGGCTGCTGGCGGGGACTCGGGGCGCTGCTTGTAAAGAAGGGGTTCCTTGTGGTGTGAGGAACCTCTTCAGTCCCTCCCGAGAGTCACACTGACATTTGCCCTCTAGAGCGATTACAGAATTTAACCGGATGCTCTGAACTCACCACCTTGTCGGCTTTTGCTTTCAGACCATCCGCAAATGTTAAAAGATTCACTTTTGTGAGCGGTTTAGCTATCTGGAAGAGAGATGAAAAACGGTGTCATGGCTGTGGGATTTTTAAATCTTAACGACGTCTAACAGGCAGCAGGGTGAGCGTGGTCCATGAAGCCCGGCGGGGAACGCTTGCACAGGCGACACCCGCATTGTCCTTTAGACACATAGAACCATGCTATTCAACCGCACAGACACATGAAGTCTGAATGGCAGGCGCTGTCACAGAGACGAATCTCAGGAACTTTGGGCCACGTGAAAGGGACCGGTAAGGCCATTAAACACAAAGGTGTTAATATACTGCCTGATCCCATTCATGTAAAACGCCCAGAATAGGTAAACCCATGGAAACAGAACACAGATGCGCGGTTGCCAGGGGCTGGGAGGGGGGAAGAAGGGCAACTGCTTCGGGGAAGCGGGGCTTTGTTTGAGGGCGACGAAGGTGCCCTGGAGCGAGACAGGTGGTGGTTGTGTCCCACTGTGATTATACTGAACGCTCGTGAAATTGCTCACTTAAAAACAGCTGCTTTTATGTTATGTGAATTTCATCTCAGTAAAAAAATAAATAAATAACAACATACTTGCGCTCTAATGTTCCCCCCAAAGATCAAGCGTGAACACATGGGTCATACCTCAGTCAAGTAAGTGTTGAAATCGATTTTGTCTACTCCCGAGTGGCTGAAGTCCAGGAGGTTTCTTCTTCCTGAATCGTCCAGCAGGACCATGTTGTCAAGCTTCACCTCCCATTCTTCAAGGCTATTGCTGATGTTCCCAGTATTCTGGGGGATTAAAAATCAGGAAAGTCATGCCCTGGCCGGTCTGGCTCAGTGGTTAGAGCATCGGTCCGCAGACTGAAGGATCCCGGGTTCGATTCCGGCCAAGGGCATATCCCTTGTTTGCAGGCTCAACTCCCCAGTCAAGGTCAGGGCACGTGCGGGAGGCAACCAGTTGATGTGTCTCTCTCACATCGATGTTTCTCTCTCTTTCTGGTTCCCTTCCACTCTCTCTGAAAAAGCAATGGAAAAAATATCCTCGGGTGAGAATTAAAAAAAAAAAAAAAAAATTAGTAAGTCCATTCTTCTCCAATGATATCACAAAAGAGCAATAAAATTGCCCGGGACAGCCCTGGCCGGTGTGGTTCAGTGGGTCGGGCATAGTCCCTTGCACCTAAAGGTTGCCAGTTCGATTCCCAGCCAGGGCACACGCCTGGGTTTCAGGCTCGATCACCAGTAGGGGGCATGCAGGAGGCAGCTGATCAATGTTCACTCTCACATCGACGTTTCTCTCTCTCCCTCTCCCTTCCTCTCTCTCAAAAAATCTTTAAAAAAAAAAGTTACAGCAGACAAAAAACCCACCAAGTGCAATTGACTGGCCTTTCTTCCTGACTCTTCTCTCCCTCCCGCCCCTTCCCTGCCTCATTCCTTACGCCTTGTGCAGAGCACTACGTGAGGAGGTGGGGTGCGAAACAACATCCTCAGCCTCTAAGACCTCGAAGGGAAGAGGCAGTGTCACAATAAAGGCACAGGGACTGCACCAGGACGCCGAGAGGAGGTGGCTTCTGCTTGAGCCTTGAGAAGCAGAGATGCCACAAGGGGCCAGGCAAGCTGCATCCCAGGACTCAGGGGGCCAGAGGCCTGCATTTGGGAACAGGGAGGATGCGCTGGGGTTGTCCTAAGAGCCAGTCAGTATTTTCAGGCAGCGAGCGGTGCCCAAGTGTCCTGGGTCCTCTCCACCCTACTCGTCCTGGCGCACGGCCTGATGGGCAAATGTGTGGAGGGCATTTATTCTGGGCTTAGTTATAAAATTACATTTTTATTGTATGTACATATGCAAGGAATATTTAGGGAAGATAATCGATGTAAAATTTGTATACCACTTTCAAATAAACTCCTCACATGTGAAAACTGTTGGGCCATGGTGATGTCCTGGGGCCACTGGGAGCCTTCTGTGACACCTCAGTAGACAAGCTGCGGGGCTTGGGGAACAGCCTCTTTCCTGGTGTCCCTTGCTCTCTGCTTGCACTCGGGGCGTGCAGAAGAAGGCAGGCTCCTTGGACTCTCTCCCGCACGCCTGGAAAGGCTGGGGGGAGCGGGGATGGCCCCACGAAAGATAACCGGTCGAGGGAAGGGGCTGAGCGGAAGTGTTTTGGAATGAGACAGAGGTGAGGTCGCACAGCCTTGTGACTGTGGGAAATGTCACTCCGAAGTGGTCGATTTTATGTGAATTTCACCTCGATTTGAAAGAACAAAGACAACTGGATTCAGTAAAAAGCTGTGCTGAATTTCAGGGTCGGTTCTAATTACTTACCTTTTGGACGTTGAGGTAGTCGCTGACATTGTAGCTGTTCTCCACCTTGAGCGCGGCGTAAATGCCTCTCTCGTGTTTGCAGTCACTGTGGGGATAAACCGGGCCAGCATGAGCCAGGGAGGCAGTGTGCCTGCCGTCCACTGCCAGTGGCGAAGGGAACGGGGGGCTGTTCATGTGCTGAGCCTGTGGGCACGGTGGCTGCTGGGTGTCGGCGCAGGAGGCAGTCGCTGATGGCCACATGAACCCCCCCGATGCCCACCGTTCCTGACTTCACTCCCACTTTACAAAATGTCTTATTTGGGAACAGATTCAGTAGGGTTGGTGCGTTCTTCTATTTGTCTCTGTGTTCTTGCCAGTGCTGTGAGGCATAACATATTTACGCATTGGGAAGAAATAAATTCTCATTTTAAAAACCCCAAAACAACACTTGCTAGAAAACAGGGTGTTACAAGGCATATCACGGGCTTTATAGAAAGGTTCTATCGACCCTCTGCCAGACCATCTCCCTCCATATCCCCAGGGCTGAGCTGCGTTTACTAAACACACAGTTGGATGCATATTCTAATGGCAGGATGGAGACATGGAGGGGCTACTAATATCCAGACGGTCAGGGTACTTTGGCTAGAACCTGACTTGGCCTCACCTCTTTGTGCTCCCTTAAAATGGGAAAAATGCCTCCTCTGAGCTAAGAAGGGTCAGCTTCATCTGATGCATATCTCTGCAACCCAAACAGCCACCTCCTGAGGGCATGTCCTTCATGTCCTGTAGCCAGAGCCCTCTAGCCCTGAGAGGTGCCTGAGAGAAGAAATATTCCCATATCCCTAGGAGGTGTGATAGTCTTCTCCAGGGAACCCCAAGTAGGCTGTTGCTGTTGGAACAGAGAGCCTGATGGACTAACAGTCGGAAGGAAGACTAGAGAGTTCTGCAGGAGCCAGAAACACAGAGAGCTTGGTCTTGTCCTCTCAGCATAGGGATAGTTAATCATGCATAGAAATTCCAATGGATTGATAACGTCTGCCTAGAACATTTGCTGTTGAGAGAAATCCTGAGAAGTCTCTGGGCTGAGCAGAAGACCACAACTGATCAGCAGTGTCTGCCATCAGGACGAGGGGCCAGGATGGTGGACGCCTGTGCCACTCGTTTGCTGTCTCTTCTAGAGGAGACAAGAGGCACTGGAATTTAATTCCTCTTGCACAGAGAGGAAGTGGAACTGCCCAAGGTCACAGAGCCGCTGTGGCAGAGCCAGGACTGGAACCCAGGCAGCCCCCTTGCACGCCCAGCCCTCGAGCTGCATGCCATTAGCATGTCTGTGATTTGGACCCATCCACTGAGTTCTTCCTACATGGCATTTACTTGGGGCAGGGTGATCCTTGAACAAATTTCCACAGGGTCCCGTTATGCATTTTAAGGTCCCTTCGCCACTGTGACCTAGTGATCACTAGACAGAGGGACCTGAAGACATCACCATTCCAAGGTGTAAAAGGTTTTCAAGGGAAAGGTCATCTTTTTGGTCTTGTTTCTACTATTTCTTTGCTAAGACTAGAGAATAGCTTAATTCTGAAACTGGAAAATGTTACCATTAACATTAAAGACACTTTGAAAGTAAAATTCTCATTCTGGAAAAACAACATTTGAACTAGCAAAGAACACATAATGCAATTATTTATACCTGTAAACTTGTTCAAAAGTGAGATTAATATCCGATTTGTTAAGAAACATGCCAGAGAGATAGTATTTCCAATTCTCATTTAGTAAATACGGTGTGTCCAAAATCTAGAACAAATTTTAAAAGTTTTTTTAAAACAAAAGACAGTTTTACACTGACATATACACATATAATAAAATGAGTATTCTGTTAAATATATTTTGGGGATTTCCATGTCATGCCTTTCCTCATTGATTTTCCATTTAAAACGAGAAAATAACAGTGTCACTGGAATAAATTAAACCACCACTGGGTAGCATCAACAGGAATTACTGAAACTACTTTGGAAAACACTACTTTTTAGTAAAACAAACACATTAGGAATGAGAGCACAGACGATTATCAGAGTAGCTAAGAGGAAGCCACGGAGCGGCTGAGCCAGCTCCTCACCCTCCCCTCCAGACACAGCGAACCAACACTCGCAGGTCTCCTGACCTGCGCCTCACGCGGGCCAACTAGGTCACGGCTGCGTATGTTTCAAAATATGCCCTACTTTTTAAGAATTCTTTTTTAACGATTTAACACAACATGGAAGATAATAAAGTCTGGCTTGATGTGCTGTTGCTATTTTTTATCAAGAGCCCAAGTGGGGATAATTGGACAAATCAATGCTCTCAATTTAATTTTCTGCAACCAACTGAATACCTAAAGGACCAGGATGACAACTGGTTAGTTTAATAGTCATTCGCCTGATTTTATGGCAGATCCAAGGTGGGAAATATATACAATAAAACAGGAAAAGAAAAATACGTTTAAGAAATTAGAACCTGGGGAAGAACGTTGGAGAGCCAATGTTAGAGGACAGGCACGGGAAGCCAAGTGTCCCTCTTACCTAACAAAGGTAAGTGGGACGTGGCCCCGGCCCGCAGTGGTCGGTGTAGCGGGAGGGAGGCTTGAGCTCCGCGTCTGTCCCGCAGACCTCTGCGGGGCAAGCAGCCAGGAGGCGTGCAGTCTAGCCTTCCTTTCGCTTCAGACCTATGGCCTGGAGCCACCCGTGGGGGCAGCTGTCACCTGGGAAACTCTTTACAGTTCAGACACTGGCTTCCTGGAGTACGGAGGAGCCACGATTGATCTTCTGACATTTCCAGTCACATTTGAGAACTGCCACTCAGGAAAATTTTCTTCTCCCAAAATATTACCATCCCCGTTGGTACACATGCCTTAACTCCTGTACTGATTTCCCTTACAAAATAAATAATACTCATGCCAGATATTTTGCTCTGACAAATAGCAGGAATATCAACTTACTGAATGAAGACCAAACTGCTCCTCTTTTTGCATGGCTCTTGGAGAGACCCACAAGATATGGGGAAACCCAAGTTTTGGCTCAAGCTGTCCCATCATGGTCACACAAAAGCACCCTTACCTGGAATAACTCCTTGTTTCGGTAAGGTTCACAGACCAATTTTTGCACATTTCCACCAACGACAAAAGAAAAAACCACAATGATCATCACTATCCAACAGACGAGGAAACTGATTCCGACCCCTCTGCGAAAAAGAGAAAGTTAAGACTTCTACAAGGAGTTATTCAATATTCACTATTACCGACCAGTGATTACCGACTCTGCATATTCGCTGCACCTTCGGCTGTGTGCAGGTTAGGCGGGTTAGCCTACCCAAGAGTGAAGACAGAAAGGGGTAAGCACTGTGGTCGTTCAGTCCTAGGCACACACCTATTTAGGGAACTCATGGCTTATTCCTGGTCCACCTGCAGCCAGCACCATGGTTCAGTCATGGGCTCTGAGTTAGTTGAGCGAACCAAGGCTTTCTGCAGAGGACACAGTGAGTGGGAAGGTTCTGAGGCAGCAGATGTGCCCTTAGGAGTCAGAAAGGGGCCAACACAGCTCTGTATCCAGAGAGAGGGCACAGAGCGTGGTGAACGGCAGCTTGAGAGGCAGGTAAGGGTGTACTGGATAGGGGCTGGTGGACCCAGAGAAGGGGGGCTACTGAGGGGCTTTAAGCCCAGGAGAAACGCGACCCTATTTCTCTCTGAAGAAGAACACTCTTGGCAAAGCATGAAGGATGGGATGGACAGGCAACCTCTGTTCTAAGTCAAGTTTCTGGAGTTTCAAAGGGAACAAGCTGGATGACTGTACAGAACAGTGTCTGATAACAGATCAGTCTTTAACAAGTATCTGGTGAGTGAATGGATGGATGGATGGATGGATGGATGGATGGATGGATGGATGGATGGATGGATAAATGGATGGATGGATGGATGGATGGATGGATGGATGGATGGATGGATGGATAAATGGATGGATAAATGAATGGATCGATGTATATGAATATAGGAAAAACACAACGGGAATAAATAAAGGAAACTTGGAAATAGCATTCATGATAGCTGCAAACCATAAGCAAACTGCGTGTTTAAGCTTGTCTAGCAAAGTGCAGCTAATTTAGAATTGTATTTTACATTTTTACTCTTGACGAAATTTCCCAAAATTGATAAATGTATGATCACACCACACACCACTGGAACCCAGTGCTCAGCTCAGAGGCCACAGGCTCCATGGACCACCAGGACCACCTGACCTCCTCCGAGTCCCACCCCTCCACGTGGCAAGGCAGAACAACACTCACACCATGAGGAAGATGCCTCCAGTGTTTGAGACGCAGCCTCGTCTGGTTGGGGTGGCATTCGGGTCATAGCCAAACGTGCCACACACTAGGCCCAGGTAATAGAAAAGTATGATGAGTGTCAGCAAACAGCAGACAATCAGGCTACCGAGCCACCTGGCGAAGCAAGCACAGTGCTGTTATAGGTGAAAGAGGTGACATCGTAACGCAAAGCTGTCGCACCAGGGCAGGGGCAACTGAGGATAATACTTGTCAATGAAACATCAGATGCCTCTGTTAATTCCTCAGAGGCGATGAGAAACGGTGCCTTCCCACCGCTAGTCTTCCAGCCCGCCCGACAAAAAACCTTAATTTTTATCTTGGCTTAGAAGTGTGCTCACTCCAAGGTCATGGGATTATTTTCTTCTTTGCTTAACTTCCGTGGAACTCCTAAGTGGGGTTTACTCAGCTTCTCCTGGGCCACTGGGAGCCGTGAGCCCTAAGGCTTTTATGTTCTCTCAAGGTTCCTAATGCTGTATGTGCTCATTAAAAGATCACAGTTAGTCAACAATTAAGGAAACACTGAGCTCTTTCCCCAAGTCTTTCTCTAAAATATCTTGTGGCTGCAGGAATAGTAGGGGGGAGAGGCACTGTGTTCTGTACAGAACCAGAAATTCTCTACATGGTGAGTGCATTGAATATTTTAGAATTTTGCCAGCATTATAAATCAAATGCCTGCAGAATGCAAATCTCAATTTTGTAATGGTCCTGTTTGACATTTTAGGATAATGGATCCTCAATTAGGTCTTACTGGCAGTCCTGGAATGTACACAGTAAGCTTTCCCAGCAGCTGAGGGTAAAAATGCTTTCCAACCTCTAAAGCACTAAAAAATAAAGAATTTACTTGTGAGACAAAAGCCTGCTGCTAAAGCTTTTCATTCAATTAAGAGCAATCTTGATAATTATACTAATAGCCACCTGCATTCATTCTGCGGTGTTTTGTTCCAGATCCTTAGGGACACATAATTCAATAAGCCATGGAACGTGGCCTCAGAAATCTTTTACCGTTAATGTGTGTCTCATCTGCCGAGTCAAATTTCTTTTAAAAATGAGCTGATGGTCTCTGGGCAGGGGGAGCTGACATGTAAACAGATGACTGTACCCCTTTCCATTTGTGAAACTCTATGAAATTGTAAGTTCATTGAGAAAGGGTCTATCTTATGTTTGTCCTGATACCCACTGGGGTGGCCTAGCCCCACGGTAGGAAAGTGTTTTATTGATTCCAGGGAGATAATGAAGAGAACAGTTAGATGGGGGTCGAAAATGCACCTCTGCCATGTTGTTGCTCCCTTAAGGGAGTCGCTCCACTCCCCTGAGCCTCAATTTCCTACAAGACGAAGCTATAAAGAGCGCACAACCCAGGGGATATTTGTGTGTATTGTAGGAGAAGTCACCCGTGCACCGCTTGGTGGGAACGCTGTAACTGTTCCCTCAAGGCTAGTGATTGCTGTTATGATTTACCCTGTGCCCTTGCATAATAAATGACCCGAGTAGGAATGAATGTCTCTGGGATGTCCTTGAGTCTGGGCACTAAGAACAGTGCCAGGGGCAGGTCCTGGGGCTGAGCCTTTGGGAGGGGGGAGTGCTTCTCAACATCTCTCCTGATGTTCTAAATACCTCAAGTCTCCAAGTCCTTTCCTCCCTCGCACTCGATCTGAGATGTCCACCGGCACCTCCCGGGGCCACACCCCACCTCTAGCACTTTCTAGTGGGTCAAAAAGCTGCTTGCCTGTGCTCTTTGAACAACTGACCGGGTTCAGGGATGCTCTTTCTGTAAGTGCCAGCCTCTCCATATTTTTATTTAAACCAATGATGGGAAGAATATTACCCAAATGCCCTTGTCCTTCTTAACTTTTTTTAAGTTTTAAAATCCTGATACACGTCTTAGATAATCATAACTAAGATTCTGGAAGCCACTAATGACATCAAAATTGCAACTAATTAAAAATTTGGCTCAAGAACTTCCAGCCCTCAAATTAAATAAAAATATGGAATGCTTCCTGAATTTGCAGGTCATCTCTGCAGCTACTATGCTCGTGTCCTTCCTAACGCTTCAATTTCATTTTCTTTTTTTAATTTCCATAATATATTTACTAATAAGGTTTAATGAGCTGTGATTTTTTTCAGTTACAGTCTATATCCAATAGTGTTCCCTATTTGTTGCAGATGTAGAACATAGTGGGTAAACAGTCACATACTTTATAGAGTGGCCCCCCCAACGAAGGGATTAAGAAGTGCAAACTGGTAGTTACGGAACAGTCACAGAGATATAAATTACAGCACAGGGAACACTGTCAACAATATTGTAATAACCATGCCTGGGGCCAGGGGGGCGCTTGAAATGTTGTGTAGTTTCAACTTTAGCGCGTGTCCTGACGAAGGGGACACTTCAGCTTTCCTAACGAGCGTAAACTGGGGTGAACACATCAGGCCGTGGCCCCGTGGTCCCACTTGCCCTCTTACGATTCCCCTTGCTGTAGTGTCCCCCTTCACCGCGGCCGGCCGGCGCGGTGGCCTGGCGCTCACCTGTACAAGTCGTACTCCTCCAGCGTGGGCAGCCTGCGGCGCACGTAGGCCTCAGCGGAATCGATGGGCTTCATGTACTGCGACACCATGTCCTCGATCGCAATCTCTTCCTTTATAGTTTCGATATTTGAGCCAAAGGTATTCAAGGTACTTTTGACATCTGGAAACAAAAATACTTCAGTCATGCATTTTCAAACCCGGGGGAAACAGAGCCTTTGTTTGGGGACCCAAACAGAAGAGCTTGAACCACTTCTCCTTCCCGCACGGGCCATATGCTTCCAACACGAGGTTCAGTACCGAGCGCTGAGCAGCCAAGTCATCCAAAAGCAATCACTTAATGCAGCAGCAAGCTGTGAGCGCGGACCCTGACGGCATGGTGCTCACATCAAGCCAGAGTTTTCTTCTGTTTATTTTTTCAAAGGTCAGGTGATTAAGACACACTGTGCGCCTACCCGGGGCCAGGCACTTTCATGGGTGTTGGCCTAGTTATTCCGCCGAGGCACATATTCCTGTTCCCACTTAATCACAGCGACCCTGGGGCGCATAGAGGAAATACTAGCCCATATGTCTCTTTCTCAGAAAGCACGAGAAATAGAGTTTATCTAACTCTAATGCTTCTGTTAAGGGATTTCAGGAAAATAATTTAATAGCATAATAATTCCTCCTTCTAAGAGGTGGCGTTCAGAATTCTCCAGGGCCCATGTTTTGAACAAGTGGCTCCTGGGGGTATCGTAGTTAAATTTGTGTGTGGCTCATACAAACTGAGACTCGTTAAAGTGCATCTGTGTTTCCTACATGCAAACAGCAAGGGGTCAAGCAGTTCTCACTAACATCCACCCTGATCTTTCAGAGACGGGGGAAATGCTAGCTTTCTGGAAAGTGTCCACAACGACAGGTCCTGAGATAAAGGCAACCTGGGGTGCGGGGTGTTACCCCGTCCAACACTCACACAAGGTCCGAAGCTGGTTTCTTGACGTGGGCATACCGAGGACATACAAGTCGGTTAACAGTCCCGATCCTGAAATCTCCCTGTGGCAGCCTAGCCAGGATTCACAGCCCTCACAGTGCCCTCCTGGCGAATTCTGGGTGGGTGGCAGTGTGGTCCAAAACGGAGCTACATAAAAATGGCAGGAACCTTTCTCAAAGTGTGTTGTTCACAAATATACTCAGTCTCAACAGCTCGTAGGAGGAGACTATCACTGTGCAGGGGCTCAGTGCATCCTCCAAATGGCTTTTGTGCCAAAAGCCCCCAGGATCCTCGAAGCGGTGACTCCATGGGCCTCTTTTTTACCTCTGGGATTTCTGGGAGTCTGAGTAATGAGGTCTGTGGACTCCCCCTCTCTTATGGACAGGTTCCTAAGCCCAGGATCAGGCCCCATCTGCTTCTCAAGCTGTCCTGCCCTGTCACACAATACAGCTCCCCAGCCTTGTAAGTTCCAGGGACTCTGTACCTGCTGGTGCCCTCTCTTAGCTAATGCCTTCTTCAGGCCTCAGAAGTTGCTTCCTCCAGGAAGCCTTCCATCACCCTTGCCCACCTTGGATCCCTTGCAAGTACCTCGACAGGTTACCAGAGTGTAACAAATGGCACCTGTACCCATGTCCAGCCAAGGGGGAAGCAGGGGTGATGCCTTATTCATCTTCCATCCCAGAGGCCAGCAGAACCTGGCACACAGTAGGTGCTTGAAATGTGTGTGCAAGACAGGACTGAATGAGTGATCAAAACATGGGAGCTAAGAGTTTCTATTTGTTTTGGAAGGACATGAAAATAAGCAGTTAATATTCCGGCTGATGGGGTGGCACCCGCCCGGACCTGGGAAAACTCTGGCTTGCGTTTGGGCAATGATGGTGCGTGCAATGGGCCTCACTCACGCACTCACACTCGCTCTCCGCACACCTCGCTGTGCCAGACTTACAAGGGAGGGCTGCACGACTGGCAGAAGAGGTCCAGGAAGGGGAGACAGAAAAAGTAAACACAGATTAGTGAGCACGTGGCTATCAGACGTGCGGCCTGTGTCAGCGCTCAGGGCTAGCGTAGGAGAGCGGGGACTTGGCCTTTACCATTGGGATACTTTCAGGTGGCACCCTAGATGGAACAAAAGGGAACCCACAAGACATCCAAAGCACTCTGTAGTAGGAAAAACTTTTTTTACCAAGTCTTAGTGGGTTGAAAGAATACTATTACAAAAAAAAAAAAAAATCAAGTACCTCTAACAATATTTTACACCACTCTGTCACCTGCTGAAAAGGAGCACTGAGAAAATGATTTGTTTAAAAGAGAAGCTGGTTTTACACAGCTTCAGAGGTTTCTTCTCTTAGCAAGTCGCCCAGGTTTATTCCATTCCTGCACCAAGAACTGTTTACACCGCATGCTTTCTCTGCAACACCCTAACCTCAATACAACATGATTCAATCACTCGAGACTGGTAGAATTTGCTCAATATCAGTCTGTCTCCAAAATTGTGAGCAACCTTCAGAGCCTAAAATACCCTTCCGTCAGCATCAGAGGGCAAATAAACGTCTTCTGCTAAGACAAAAAAAATCCTCATACATAGGATTCCTAAAAAAAAATTTAAAAATTTAAAAAAAAATCAATTTTAAGCTCTTTTAGGAAATACAGTAATCTTTAGCTTTTTCCCCATGTGGCCTCCAAGCTCTGGCTGTTGTCGGCTCTGACAGCTCACACCTAGGGCTCGTCACCACCCCGTGGCCCAAGCCAGGCAGCTTCCCGCCAGCAGGGTGACTAATGTTAATCCAAGGTCAATAGGGGGATTATTATTTTTTAAATCGATGTCAGTTGTGAAGGTAGCACTATTGAAAAGTTCTGATATTTGTTTAATTTTCTAGGTTTTAGTGAGAGAATATTTTTTAAGAGGGAAAAAGAACAATATAATTCTTAATACATTTCTTTGTGCTAACTGTCCAATTCTTAACAAGGAGGGATACAAAATTATTTCAGACTGTGACTCTCACCTGATACCATGTCCGTGGTTTGTTTTTCCATCGCCTCAGGTATACTGTTAAAGGATTTATAGCCCTGAAAAATTGTTCAAAATAAATTGATGTGCAGAGTAAACAGAACAGTTAACCAGTAGTTTATTTAGTACAGAGTAAAGAAGCAAAATTAAAATATAACATTTACCTTAAGGCAGAAATTATCATTACATGGTTGTTTAAAGTCTTTAAAAATTCCCTCTAGCTGGGACTTTTAAATTGTATCGATCAAAGATCACGCTAAAAGTTTTAGTTTTTAACTTTTAACCATGTTAAAAGTTTACACGCATCTGTACTATACATACCAGTGTTTCTCAAGTGGGGGCAGTTTTGTCCCCCAAGGACAATTACAGAGTGAAACTGGCGACCTAGTCTCACAGAAGTGCCCCAAAACGCAGCTTCTAGAGAATACAAACTGTCGTGAGGCTAAAACAAAGATGAGGACAGCCGTGCCCGGCTAACTCACTGTGGGGCTCTCTGGGACTCTTCCTAGTCACTCACCGAAATCTCCAGCCTTTTCTCTGGAAGGGGTTTAGTTTGTGCTTGTTTATGTCAGCTGGTGCATTTAGCTATCTGCCTGGGGACACTGTAGCGACTGTAACCTGTTCAGACTGAACGTCTGTGTCCCCCTAAAATGCAAATGTTGAAATCCCAACCCCCAAAGTGATGGTATTAGGAGGCGGGGCCTCTGGGCGGTGGTTAAGTCAGGAGAGAGGAGCCTCGTGAATGGGATCGGTGCCTTATACAGGACCCCAGAGAGCCCTCTCGGCCAGGTGGGGGAAAAGATCACGCTAAAAGGACACCGTGTCCCTGGACAGGTTGGCTCAGGGTTAGAGCGTTGGCCTACTGGACCAAAGGGCCGTGGGTTCGATTCCCGGTCAAGGGCACGTACCTCAGTTGCATGTTCGATCCTTGGCTCCGGTCTGGGCTCATGTGGGAGGCAACCAATTAATGTGTCTCTCTCTCACATCGATGTTTCTCTCTCTCGCCCCCTCCTCCCTCCCTTCCACTCTCTCTGAAAAAATCAATGGGAAAAATATCCTCGGTGAGGATTTACAAAAAAAAAGAGCCCAGCCGGGTGTGGCTCAGCGGTTGAGCATCGACCGAGGATCCAGGCGATCGGGGTTCGATTCTTTGTCAGGGCACATGCCCGGGTTGTGGGCTTGATCAATGACTCTCTCATCATTGATGTTTCTGTCTCTCTCTCCCTCTCCTTTCCTCTCTCTGAAATCAATAAAGATATATTTAAAAATAAATAAATAAATAAATAAAATAAAATGAAATGAAATAAAATAAAATTAAATAAATTAAATAAATAAATAAATAAATAAATAAATAAATAAATAAATATAAAGACACAGTGAGAAATGACTGCCCGCAACCTGGACAGGGTCTCTCACCAGGACCCGGACATTTTGGCCCCTGAGCTCAGAATTCCAGCCACCAGGTTGTGAGAAACACGTCTGCTGTTTACAGCAGCCAGCCTACGATGCTCTTCACAGCAGTCCCGTCCAAGTTACCAACTTTGTAAGATTTATGGGGCCGGCCAGGTCCCGCTTTAGCCTGGCAACACTGAAGACATAAAAGAGTGCCGACTGTCCCCACAAGGATGACTGGGCTGCCCAGCGCCCTGGGGCTTGTGTTGCTTCGCTGCGCTCCTGACCCCGCCGTGTGTATCTGCGTGCGGGCTCGCGGAGGTCACCCGTTGTAAGAGGTTTAACGGCAGGAAGGAGCCTTACAGATCAATTCCTTTGATCTAACAAACCAAGTGAAACCAAAGACAAAGCGTTTCAATGACTTGTTTAAGGGGATATGCACTTGGTTTATATGTAGATGAGTTTAATAGATATGTGATGATATTTTTATACCCTACTAAAAGATGTATGGTCAAGAAAAAAACTGTTCTCTCCCTTTCCTATAGCCCAGGACAGTGCCTCTGAATCCTAACCTACAAAGAAATACCCCAGTGCACTCAAGATCTTGGTGGAATGAAGAGCCGCCACTGGCAGGCTCTCTTTCTGGAAATTGAGGCCATAGTGGTCCCCGCCTTTCTTAGGGCCTACAGTCCAGTGGGAACACCTGAAAGCAGTAATTATCATCATGAAGAACTTCACAAAGAATACTTGCAATGCTGTAAGAATGTACTAAAAAGGGTTTTGACCTGGTCGAGACATCCGAGAAAGGCCTTATCAAGAAAGTGAAGTATCACCCGGCCCACATGGCTCAGCAGTTAAGCATCAACCTATGTAGGATCCAGGAGATCACAGTTCGATTCCCGGTCAGGGCACATGCCCGGGTTGCGGGCTCGATCCCCAACGGGAGGCGTGCAGGAGGCAGCCGATCAATGACTCTCTCATCATTGATGTTTCTATCTCTATCTTTCTCTCCCTCTCCCTTCCTCTCTCTGAAATCAACAAAGATATATTGAAAAATATATATATTTAAAAGAAAAAGTGAAATATCAACCTTAAAGTAGGCAGCGCTTAGCAGTCCAAGTACCTAGGCAAAGGAGAGGGAGAAAGATGCTGGTGCTGGGCATAGTGACAGCCTGTGCAGCAGGCGTTGCGGGGGGTGGAACACGCACCACCACTGTGGCAGACCCATGGGTAGAGGGTGGCGCAGCTGGTATCAGAGTCAGCAAGGGGTCCAGCACTGACCATCAAATTCTGAGCCCTGGGAAGGTGAGGGCGTGTGTTTCTTTTTACCTCCTTGGTCCTAGCATGGTGCTTTGCACATAAGAGATGCTCAGTAAAAATTTCTTGAGCTGGAATTATGAGCAAAATTACCAGGAAGCCAACAGTCATCACTCACCCTTCTTGGTAATCGCTCTGCAGAATCCCGCTGCTTTCTTGCTGTTACCTGTTTTCTTATGCATTCGTCTACGCTTTAAAATAAGCTCCTGTATATTTCCAAAAAAACATACCTCTTGGGCCAGGCTGTATAAATTTGTTTGAAGAACTTTATCAATATTCTCAATTGGCTTATTCAACGGTGGGAGCTGGAATGTGTAAAATGAAACAAGGCAAGGTGGTTACCCTCCAAATCATTTGTCATCTTATACCCAAGCTCCAAGACCTCTGTATTATAGGGTGTGATCTAAATTTCTTTTGCACAATAGAGTATTGTTTGGGGAAAACACATTCAGCTCAGAACAGCCTGTGTTAAGCATCAATTTTAGATGTTGGGGGGTCTCTTGCTGCAGTCAGGTGAAAATGAGGGACAGAGATTTAACACAGATTGGGCAGATGTGACCTCACAATGTCAGGTACTGAATATTGTTGGATAAAGTGGTAAACTAACTTTTAAAAAACACATTTAAAAGTAATACAGGCAGTGGTTACGCTGGTGCATGGTCTGGAATAAAGTTTTCATTTTATATCAGACATGGACTTAAAGTGTTCTCTCTCTTACCAATAAGGGGGACAAGTGTCACGGGCCTACCAACACGATGCACCAAGAACACACTATCATTTTTGTAATGTGCTGACAAATACGCATATTTTAAATCTAACCATGAGGGAACATCAGACTAACACAAATCGAAGGCCGTTCTATATAGTAAATGGCCTGTAATCTTCAAATAAGTGAATGTCATAAGGAAAAGGCAGACTCAGAAACCATTCCACACTGAAGAAACTAAAGAGACGTGACAGGCAAAGACCACGTGTGACCCGGGACTGGGCCTTAGACTGGATCGAGGTAAAAAAACAAACACAGTTGTAAAGGGCATTTTTAGAAAAACTGGCAAAATATGAATCTACACTGTGGTTTAGAGGGTGGGATTAGGTCCGTGTTATATGCCCTAACTTTGGTAATTGTGTTCATTGCTATATAAAGTTAGGAAACATTTAGGGGTAAAGGGGCATAATGCCTGCACCTCACCGCCAAGCAATTAAGAAAAGGGCAAAATGCATATTACTTTATGCACTTATGTGATAATACGGACAGAGGGACGGGAGGAACATGACGCATAAACGGGTGAAATGAGATGATCGAGCATGTGGAGCCAAATGTTGGCGACTGGTGGGTCTGCGTAAAGGGCGCAGGCGGCGGTTCCTCGCACCGTTCTCGCAGGTTTTCTGCATGCTTGAAAGTAGACCAGAATAACACGTTACCTAAGAAGGACTAGGTCTCAATTAAAACGCAAGTGTAGATCCTGGGCTCTAAAAAACTGTCTAGTGATGACAAAAGTGACTGTACTAGATACGCAGACACAGATGCTGGATGCGAAGAGTCTGAGTAAAACTGGTTCATGAAATGTGAAAGTGAGAAAAACAGAGCTAAATTAAAATCTTGTTCTATATCAGTGTGAGCTATATCACACATATATATCACATATATATNAAAAACAGAGCTAAATTAAAATCTTGTTCTATATCAGTGTGAGCTATATCTATATCTATATCTATATATCTATATAGATATAGATACACANTAAAACTGGTTCATGAAATGTGAAAGTGAGAAAAACAGAGCTAAATTAAAATCTTGTTCTATATCAGTGTGAGCTATATCACACATATATATCACATATATATCACACATATATATCACAATCTCGATCAATTAAAAACCATAAGGAGACATGATTATTTTGTCTGTATCATCTTATACCCAAGTCCTGGAATATATAAAGTTCCAGAACTTTATATATTCAAGTTGCTCCAATTTTTTTTTTTCCTTCCTAATTTTCTCTTTGGGAATATGAGAAATTACTTTATATTTAAGCATATACTATTTAAGCCCATATACTTTATAGGTGGCCAATGTACTAGGACCATCATTTCAAAATGTATTTTAACTTTAAAGGTCTACACAAGTGCATTCTGCTTCTTTTTTTAATTTTTATTTGAATTTACTCTATGCTGGGTCAAATCAATGGCAGACGGCTCTCAAGGAGGGGTCTCCGGCTCCGCCTTCCCGCGGCCGGGGCCATCGCGGCGTGGCAGCTGGCTCACCGGGAAGGCGCGGAGACCCGGCCCAAGCACCCGCGAGGGGCACCCGCGCGCC